TTGGGAATTTTTCCTGCAGAAATCCTTGCACAAGGGCAAAAAGGTATGTGCAGACATACACAAGGATGTTCACTGTGCCATTATTTTTAATAACGAAAAATTGAAAAGTACCTCAACGTCAAGAAGAGATTGGTTTAAAAATATAATCTTGTGAAATGTTATACCTTCAAAATTTTAAAATGTAGTAAACCTACTATTAACCTGAAAAGATGCCCATGATTTATTGTGAAGAATTAAGTAGCAGAATAATACATGTAGTGTAATCACGTTCGTGTTTAGACACTCCAAACAGTATAATATAAACACAGATAGGTATTTAATGCATTTTAAATCGTTTGAAGTTTTGCAGTAAATTATTAAAGGCTGTTCCGTTTAGGGGTGGGACCTGACTGCACAGGGTTGGAAGGAGAGTGGGGAGGAATAAAAAGCTTTCCTCGTTTTATTTTACGCACATTTCTATTGAAATTTTAACAAGGCTTTATTTTGTAATAAACGTTTTTAAAAATGAAAAGTACATTTAAACTCTACAAAAACAGGGAAAAATAAAAAGTTTAAGTGAGACGAGATAGTTTCTGAGATTCCACCTGCTTAACAGTTTATGAGTCCATGAAAACACATATAAGTAGAAAGTAGTATTTCTTAGAGGCACAAAATGTTTCATTCACAATGTGGTAGAAGAGTGAGAAGATGAAAAGAAGAAGAGAGTAAATCATAGAGTCGGAAGGGAGTTAGCTGGAAGCAGAAGTGGGCGCCATTGACCTTGGTTCTAGAGGAACACAGAAGAACTCAAATTCCTCTTCTTCAAGATTGCTCTACACATACGTACGAGCAGCGATGTGGGCCATAAGCCTTCCGTTTTCTAGACAAAATATTCCAGTTGTTCCCAGTGAGATCTTTTGCTGTCCTGATCACCCTGTTGTGTTTGTTGCAATTTGTCAATGTCCATCTTGAAATGTGGCGACCGGAATCAACTACCACTGCCAACTCCAGACTCATCAGTGTCTGGTACAGTCAGATTGAACCTTCCTTGTGCAGGAAACACTTTTTTTTTTCTTTTAAATCCAGACCAAGATTATTCCTAAACCTTCGCCTTGTGTTTTCTCCTGAAAATTGCTAGTCAGCAGTCCTACTGTTTTTCTTCATTATTTGTCTGGCTTCTCGTTCTGTTTTGTTTTTTCTGGCTGTCTTTTGTTGTTGAACCCTTTGCCTCCTTAGGAGCTGTAGTAGACAGTGATTTCTCAGATTGCCTCGGCTTTTCTATTAACAAAAATGTCAGCTCATATGAGTCACATTTTTAATTGATATCAGCTTCAAGGAAGGAAGCTAACTTGGCGTGAGCCCTGTAGATCACCTGAAGAGTTTCCTTTTGTCACCAGGGAATTGTGTAAACTGGGGAAAGAATAAATAAGAGTGCCCTCTTTGGGCAGATGAAGTACAAAAAGTTCTTCTCTGGGTGGATGAATTAGAAAAACATCCTTCCTCCATGGGTGAAGAAGCCTGGGGACCTGGGTCGAGTGGGGACTGTATTTTGGCGCCATCTTACTGGTGTGCAGGATATAACTGTAAAAGCTTGCAGCAGCCTGGATTGCAATACTACCTGTGTTCCAAAAAAAATAAAAAGCCCCGTAGACATTGTGGCTGCCTCTTTGCAGCACAGTTTTCTAATTTTTGGTGTAGGGGGTTCTTGAGAAGACACCTTCCACATCAGTTACTCCTGGTTTTGTTGTTTCTTCCTGTTTTTTTTTTTTTTTAATTAACAGTATTATTGAGGTATAATTCACATACAGTAACATTCATCCCATTGTAAAATATAATTCAATGACTTGTGTGTGTGTGTGTGTGAGGAAGACTGGCCCTGAGCTAACATCTGCTGCCAATCTTCCTCTTTTTGCTTGAGGAAGATTGTCGCTGAGCTAACGTGTGCCAATCTTCCTCTATTTTATGTAGGATGCTGCCACAGCATGGCTTGATGAGCTGTGCTAGGTCCACACCCAGAATCCAAACCTGTGAACCCCGGGCCACCAAAGTGCAGTGTGTGAACTTAACCACTACGCCATGATTTAACCCCAGCCCCCAATGATTTTTAATAAATTGTTAGCAAATTTTTAATAAATTGATAGCAAATATCACTATAGTCTAGATCTAGAACATTTCCATCACCGCAAAAAGTTCTCTGGTACCCATTTGCAATCAGTTCCTGCTCCCACCTCCAGCCCCATGCAATCACTGGTCTGCTTTCTGTCTTTATAGATTTGCCTTTTCTGGAAATCTCATAAAAATTGGATCCTCTCTTCCTGTAGCTGCTTTCTCCTCCTAATCTGCTAGAGGTACAATAGCTGGATGTTAGTCCTGTCCACTTCGACTGCTGCTACAAACCCTTACTCATCTCTTTCTTCCCATTCTGCCTCAACAGTCAAACATGCTCTATTATCTCCCATCCCAGAGCATTCTCCCTTGTCCAACATCCTCTCCAGCCACCACCCTTTCTGTCTGGCCCATTTCTGAGCCCAACTTCTCAAGATTGGACCTCATGGACTAGCTTCCCCTCTTCTCCCCTGTGAACTCTCCTTTTAAAAAGTCTTTTTAACGTAATATTTGATATGAATAAAATGACATTAAAAAGAACATGTGATATATATGTAAATTTTAAAGCCTAGGAACATAGTGAATATCTACACCTGTCGCCCCCTCCATCCACCAGCCTTACAAACAGCAGAACCCATGACTCAAAGTCTCGGCCTCTCTTACTCATCTCTACATTGTTTTGTCCTCTTTGGTCATTTCTGACTCTTTCTAATTCCATTTTTAAACAAGAAATCTGGGCTAAATTGTCTTTGAAATCCATTATATTGCTAAGATTCCCTGATTAGTACTGAGAGATTAATTTTTTGTTTAGAATATATTATAGAAGATTTATAGCTTACATTAATGAATATTACTATAATTTATTTTACTTTGAAGTCTTGGCTGAGAGCATGACATACAATTGTAACATCATTTCTATAGGAAATTTATTCTACTTTGTATCAATTTGTGCTTTAGATGCTAGGTTTTCTCCCCTAAATTTTGAAGCTAAAAGCTGAGCTTCCTGTAATATTCTCCCTCAACCCCATCTCTCCTCGGATGGAATTCATTTAACCAGTCCAGGGGCCCCAAGGGAGGTGTGGAAGTCAATTATTGCTACGACTTGATACTAATGGCTACTTATATATTTAATTAATGTAATACTTGACACTCAGGGAGAAACTCTTTATAGTTATCAAAACCAGGCCTTTGTTTTCATCTTTTATGCCTGGTGTTTAGCGTGTTCCCATTGTAACAGATGTTGGGGAGGAGCTGCCATGGATGTGAAAAAAAACACATCCCACTCACTCCCTCCTCCAGGCAGGAAAAGTTGCCTAGAAAGTGATTAGTGATAGATATTTGTAATATTTGTGATTGCATTTGTCACTTTTCCAAACTACGTTTTTATTGAACATTCACTGCATTTTTCGAAGTTCGAAATATTTTCTTAATCTTTTCTATTGTGTACTGATGTCATTAAAACAGTTAGCTCTTAAAAGCACTCATTTTTCTTGGACTGTTGTTTTATTTCCTTAGCGCATTCTAAAGAATATAGTAACTCTTTAATGAGTGCGAGTAAACCAAAAGTGGCTGACCGTCTCCTGGGTCAGCCCAGGAGCTGGCTGGGGCTAGGTCTCACGGGCACACCCTGCGAAGGTCTTCTCTTCTCCCTGCCAGGTGTGGGACAGGAGGGGAGGGAGCGCAGGTTAGAGCTCCGTGTTCACGTGGAAGATCCATTCCAGCCAAGTGGATTCCAAGCACAAGCCATCCCTGGGCTCTGGAGATGCTCATGTGTGGGCAGGTCCTGTGACTCCAACACACATATGCCTCAGAGTTTATTTTCAGTCTGAGAATTTCTAGTCATTAATATCCTCCTTGGCCAGTGTCTGCTGTTATCGAACACACATACTCTCCTTTTGTTCTGAAAATGCGTTATGTTTGTGGCTTGAGCTTCTATAATTCTAAATCTTTTGGTCAAACTCTTTGGGGTTTTCCTCCGACCTAAAATGAAAAAGAAACAAACGAGCCTATCTTCTATTTAAGTGAATGAGGGAAGATTTACTGACTGCACAGAGTAACTCGATGAGAGGGCTGGACTGGCGGTGTGGACCTGTGAAATGTCTTATAGGTGCAGACTGTGAAACATGCTCGCCTGGTTAGTGAGGCCCCAGGTCACCAGAGAATCTGGTTCTTCTTCGTACACTTAGGACTTTAACGAGTTTGCCCCAAACCTCATTTATAATTCCAGGCATCTTACGAAAACCTTTTTTGACTTCAGTCTCCTTTTTTCAGTCATCACAAATTCTGAAATAACCAGATTCAATTCCCTGAGGTTTAATTCTATATTTGTCTTAAACCTTCATCATCACTGCATCTAGTCAAAATGATAAGAAAAATTAATATGACTTTTTTTTATCATACTAATGAAACGATTTCATAAGATCTTAACTGCTGTAGCTAAAGGATAAAAAGCATTTCTTCATGAACTAAAGAGTCTGGTTAAGACCACTATTCGTAGTCAAAGATAAGACTTGGTTTATATGTAAGGCTCTCCTGTGTTAAACATAATCAGCATAAAATATTTAATAATTTATTTACTTAATTGAGTTTTCTCAGTTGTAGAAGAGAAAACAATGATGTCTTAAATTCTTAGATTTTTTTTTAGAAGACTTATGCTTTCAAGTCTTCACAGTTTTTGTGGTCTGAAAGTCTTGTATTTGTCATGCTTCTTGTTTGCGTTATGACAGATGATACATCAACTGTATGTTACTATGTAACGTCATTTTATTTCTGTTACATTTTTCCCATTTAAACCATAAAAGCTTCAAGATGAGGACCGAGGGCAGCGTCTGTGGTCTGTCCTCACGGCCATCTGCGCACAGTCGTGCAAAGCTGGTATTTTGCACAAGTAAGAGTGTTTGCGTTTCCTTTCACAGGTGGGGAGCATTAAGCGGGAAATGACCTTCACATTTCAAGCAGAGGACGTCAGACGTGACTCTAGCAAAAAAGTATCTCATCAACACTTGTTCCCCTTGGCCATGGAGGAGGATGTGAAAACGACAGACACCAAAAAAGCCAGCCGAGCCCTTGACCATGAAAAAGAAAACACTCGCTCCATATGTCTGCTGGAGCAAAAACGAAAAGTCGTTTCTTCGAATATTGATGTTCCTCCAGCAAGGTAAGGGGATGGCAGCCCTTGCGTGTGTGCCCGGGAAGTCAGTGGAGAGCGCGCACAGGCTCCACCGTATCTCTCTGAAGTGTACAGACTTAAGAAGGGTTTTCTGCCAGGAACTTGTTTCTGTTGCTTGTGTGAAATAGAGCAGCTGGCCCTGCTCTTCAGAACTGACTCTGAGGCTGCGATAGTTGGAAATACTGCAGCTCTAGAAAAGAATGTTTTGTTAGATTTTGGCAAATGAATAATAAAGAGCGAAAGAATAAGTTACAAAAAAGAAAAAGAAAAAAAGAAAAGAAACATGAAATGTAGGACTGAGCAGAGCCACTTAAAAGCAACGGTCCTCAGGTCTTGGGGCAGGGTTGGAGAGCTCTGGCTGCAGGCTGGATTCGGCCCCGGGCTGTTCTTTGTGGCCTGCGAGATCAGAGTGATTTTTCATTTTTAAAGGGTTAAAGAAAATGAAGAATATGTGACATAGATCATAGGTGGCCTGCAAAGCCTAAAATATTTTCATGTGACTCATTACAGAAAAAGTTTGCTGATCCCTGGTTTATATCATGGTGATCCTTTAAAGACAGATCTACCTTAGAACAGGGCCAAGAGGGTTTATCTGAAATAGCAAAAGGCTTTTCTCACGTTATAATTTTACTGAAACCACCTCCGGCAGCATTGAACCAAAGGATGGTATTATGGCAGAATGGCAATGGAATGGTGTAGAATATCCATACTTGACCTCTTCCTTATTTCCTTGCTTATCACTTATCTCATCTAGAAAGTAAGTTCCACCTTGGCCAGGATTTTAGTCCGTCTTGTTCATGCTTTATCCATGGTGCTAGGACGATGCTTAATTACATCCTAGGGGCTCAATAAACATTTGTTGGATGAAGGAAAGAAAGGAAATTCTGTAGTACAAAAGCTGGCTTATTTTTAATGAGTACCATATTTTGTTACCCAAAACCGTTTATAATGAAACTTTATAAGCAATTGTTTGAGAAGTCCTGCATTTCTTAGAGTGGTTTCTGACAGCTAACTAGGAAAATGGTATCTTTGGATAAGGGGTAAAGGTTCTTTTTCTACCTATTCATTTTTTGTAATTAAAATTTCCTTTATTTCTATGTTAAATCAAAAGTATCTTCTCTAGAAAATTACATATTTTTCTATTCTGCTACCAAATTTGTCAGACTTTCTAAAATTATAGGCCTCCTTGTTTTCCTTAACCTTTAATTGAAAATTTTCATATCTTTGTTACTTCTAACTACTTAGAATTATTTGCTTTTCTAATTTTTTCATGCAAAATACCTGTTAAATTCTTTAGGATTAGTTCCTTTCAGTAGGGGTTCATTGTGAAATGTTTTATCATGCCCTGAACCTGTTTGGCACCTCAATTCATATCTGTTATTTGGGTGACTCATAGGAAACATGACATGTTAATTTGAAATGTGAAGAGCTGTGGTTTTATTTTCTTCCTAAGTTTGTAGGGCAAAGATTAGACTTCCTAACGTCAGAGAGTTTAATGCCAACTTGCAATTCTACAGGCCTTACTCTACGTAAGGTTTTCATTAGATGATTTTATATGTTAAAAGACCTGGAGTTAATAATTTCAAATTGCCATAGATTGTTTTAGGTTTATCTTTATTCTTAAATTTCACCCCACTTGCAATAGTTTCTGGGAAAAATAATGAAAAGAAGAGGAATAAAAATGCTTCTGCCTTTTCTGACTTTGGTGTGTGGAATATTTTTTTCCACCTTCTCAAATTCACTGAGTGTACTTAAAAGTTATGAGTCAAGCTAGTGTTCTGTGGGGTTCTTAAACAGTATAGGGGAATTAATTAGGTTTTAAGTCCATTAATGTACGGCAAAAATTCCCCAATGACAGGGTATAATTTAGACATATTAATCTATTGTGGGAAGTACTAGTTAAAGCTTCGTTGTTTGAGATCTCCACTAATACATTTGTTTTCATTGCTATGGTAAGAATTGAATCATCGCAAATATGCCGACAGTTGGCGAAATGAATTGCTCTTTTTTTTTTAAGTGATGATGAAGGAATCACAAATTGTGGAGTTTAATTATCTAACTCTCAACACTTTCTGTTCTATTCCCATTTACTGTTAGCAAGTTATTTTGTAAATGTCAACTTTCCACTGTCATCGAAAGTAGATCAATATTTTGTTTTAAAGAAATTCTTTTACCTAACGTGGTAGGAAGATACAAGATTTTTCTTTTTGTTTATTAAGGAGAAATATAATTATATCTGTTGGCAGTATATAAATATGAAGTTTGAGTAAGTCTACAGTATAGTGAAATTTATTGGTATAGGGAAATTTATATATCTATATCATATATAATATATACTAGTATGTATTTTATATTTATATCTATATAAATATACATAATCTATATAGCTATATCTATTTACATAATTATTGCAACTTATTCTCCCAAATCCAGATGTTATATATTGGCCAGTTCTAGAAAGGCAGGATAATCATTTTAGACGAAAGGGTGTCACTTGTGTAGAGCTCAACAGTTTAAAATCAGTTCGCTATCATCTTTCTCAGTTTATCTTTTGCTTATTTTCACTATAGCCCAGAAAGTTTTCATTGACCTTATGCTGTTTGTGGTTTGTAAAATGAAACTTGCAGTTTATTTTCTATGGTTTGTGTAATGAAAACAATGGATATATTTTATGTTTTCTCATGTCCCTGGAAAGGTCTGGGGACCAGCCCCCCCTTAACCTCTATAGCTCACTGTGATTGAGCATCACTGACTTCATCTCCTGCTTCCATTCAGTAAACATTTGTTGAGTACCTGCCGTGAACCCAGTACTCAGTAAAGAAATGCGTGAGATGGGGTGGCAACCCTACAGGAGCTCACAGAATCACAGTTCCTAACTTGCTGCCTTCTCCTTAGAACTGGGTGAATTTGTATGTAAAGGAGAATCTCTTAATCTTAAGAAATTATTAATTTGACACAATTACTTAAAGGCCTAATTTTCTTTTATTAGTACCTTTTTCAATATGTGGACGAATGGAATGGAGAAGGAGGAACTCTGGATCTGAGAGCTATCTTACAAAATCCCTGTTTGTTTACCTGTTTTCTGAGGCCCCATTTAAAAGTTGCTAGTTTCAGGAAAATAAAAATTTATGTAAGTTTTTAATCCAGGTGTGTTAGGCTGGGTCATCCAAGAAGTAAAAGCCAAGACAGGATTAAACATGCCAAGTGTTCTGTTAGGGCAAACATCTGTGGGAGAAAGAGGGTGGGGGATGGCAAGGAAGGAGGGACTTGCAGGTCTGAGCCCGGTGAGGGAGAGATGGAGGGACGGTTGGGTCGAAGTGTCCCAGGCTGCCTCGCACGGCCATCAGGAGTCCTGCATTCTATTAATGCACAGAGTCCACTTTCCCCTGGGATATTGCGTGATCGATTTCAGGAAGAAACAGTGTTTTCTTTTTGGGGGGTGGTAGTGGTGTATGCATTATAGACTTGAGATACTCAAGATACTCCTCAAATTCTTCCAAGTTCTTAAGTGGAGAAAACTAAACAAAGAGAGAAAGAGAGTGTAAGAGAACATGTCAACAATTAGTGTTTCTCTTTGGAACTAAAGGTCTATCATTAACAGAAAAAATATCTTCCCGACTTGAAGAATTAGTGGGGAGCAATAATGTGGGTCGAGGGAACCAGTACCAGGAGCAGCGATGCTCAATGACCAGTCTCTCTCTGTGCATGTTTAGTGACTTGTTCATTTAGTGATGTCCGGTTATAAAAAATAACGGCCCCTCCCCAAAAGACTGTGAATTGAGAATGAGTAGTTGCACGTTATAAATATGTTATCTTAAGTATTTTTTAATCTCAAGGGAAAAATACTAGCTTTATTGATCTCTATAGAGAGTTTAGGAAAATGAGCTTGAATAGTGTAAGGACAGGAATAAAAGAGGCGGGGGTGTGAACTCTGGAAGAGTCGAGCCAGAATGGAATTCCAATACTGTAAATACGAAAGAAATGAATCAGAGGCCGAATTAAGACAAAGACCAGTCAGAGATTTCCTGTGGGCAGAGCTCACTGGTTCATTAGCCAAGACAGTAATTTCAGCCCGATGTGAAAAAGATGAGGAACATGGGCCCAGATAATAAATGAGTCATGCTCAGCTCAGTGGTGGAAATTGGAGGAGAAAGAAGATTTGAAATCCAGAGTAGGAAATTTACAGATTGGCCAGGGATGTAAGGCGTGGAAGTAGTTCCTGGAATGAGCGCCAAGCTAGCAGAGTAACATGAGACTTCTTATGATTTGGCCTGATTGAATTTGGTTGGTAACACCAAATTCTTTCACAGTGCAAGGAATGTCCCTTTGAGTGTTTGAACTGACCCGATGGGTAACGAGGCAGCGTGGTAAAACCTGTAAGTATCAGAAAAGAGAACGTAAAGGGCTCAGGAGAGTCGCCTTTGGAGGAGAAATTTTCCACTCATTTTAACTCTGCTTGGTTGTGCGGAGGAGTTGGGAATACCTCTAGGCTGGTTTCTTTATACGGTTCATAAAGATTGTTCCAGTGTTTGTATACATTTTAAAGACTGATGTCATGTTCTTTGGCATATATGAATTTAAATCTGCTACGTTTAAAGTCTGATTGTGTAGTAAATAATGTAGACATTTACCCAAAGAGAAATAAAGGGAAACAAGTGCTAGACACTCTCTATGATAGCATCATGTAAGAACTAAGAAATTGTAAAAGGGTTGTAAATTGTGAGGTAGTGTAAGTAATGAAAATGAAAGGTTTCTGATCTGTGTGTGCCAGATGGGTTATGTCATGGGTTATGTTGTGTCCCCTAAAAGATATGTGGAAGTCGTGATCCCCCAGGACCTGCAAATGTGACCTTATTTGGAAATAGAGTCTTTGCAAATGTAGTAAGTCAAGATGAGGTCATTAGGGTGGGCTGCATCCCAATACGACTAGGGTCATTATAAGAAGCAGAGAGGAGACAGGGACACATAGGGAGAATGCCATGAGACAA